GGACTGGGCTCACTTGGCCTCTGTCATGCCTGGCTGGTGGGAATAGCAGCAATCCGGGTGGGTCGGGCTGTCAGGGGTGAAGCTGCTGCTCTGTGTGAGCCGTGAGCCCACTGCGGGCAGGTGCGTGTGCTGAGTACCGCATCATCTCTCATCCACGTGCGGACCCCACAGGACACGCATTGCGGTTCCTTATCTTTATTAAACAGACAAGGAAACACGTTCAAAGAGGTTAAGGGGTGTGCCCACGGCCAGTGACAGACCACAGCATCGCGATTCACACCCGGTTTATTTTGCCCACAAGCCCCACCTCATCCCCCCACAGCCCCCATCTCCTGATTGATGAATCGGGTGAGTGCCATGGGGAGCATGTGCTGGAAGGCTTGGGAATTCCAAAGCAGCTGATCCGTGTCTTCCCAGCACACATGGTGGGGAAACTAAAATGAAGCAAAAATAGAGTCTGTCAGCAGGAGGACAGCTGCCACTTTCTCTGGGAACTGATCTCCTTGATTTATCTGCCCAGGTGAGGCAGGCTCCAGCTCTTGGGGCAGCACAGAGAAAGAATGTGAATGCGGCCAGGGAAATCGCGGTCTCTCCCTTCATTAGAAAAAGATGGAGTAGACCCCTCTTGTGTGGCACAAGTGTCAAAGAAATCTTGCCTCCCGAACCTGAGAGAGCAAGTGGGGGGGCACTCGGAGTGGGAGAGCTTGCCCGCCGGACCCTCACACCCGGGAGCTGCTCTGTCCTCCCCGATGGCTGGTGCCGTGCCCCGCGGCCAGCGTCACAGCTGCTGCAGTCACCATCTGTTGACGCTCGCTCGCACTGAAATGGACAACGGGACTGATCGCTGTTGCAAGAGCAGAGAGGGAGGAGAGAGAAGTGAGAGGGAGAGAGTGTGCGTGTGTGCACACACCCACGGAGCAGCAGAGAGGGACAGCACGCTGCCAGGCACACCTGGGAGATGCTCCCTCTGGCTCCCGCTGCAGACCGTGCTGCTTTCACATGTGAGTGCCAGGAGCTAGCTGACCTGGCTTTGCACAGCCCATGCCCTGAACCCCTGTTCACTGCTCTAGACCAACCCGGGACGCCAGGAATCTTCTAGTTCCCAGAGTGTCCCTGCGTGTATCCTGTATTTAAGGGTTGCTGGCGTACAAATGTGCTGTCTCCAGTGTAGGGCAGGAAATAGAGGTGGCCTGTCTCTGTTTTTCTTCCAAATGCCCACTGCTGGTGGAACTAGAGATGGTCAAAAATGAAATGATCTATTTGGGCCAGACAGCCCAGGAGGCAGAGGAGGGAGAGACTCAGCCGAGAGAATGGGGCTGGGGGCTGTGTTTTCTTGTGTGGCAGTTCCAAGCCAGATTCCGCACCACCAACCCAGAACACGTTTATTTGCAGAGTGTTCCCCTCCCTGCCCTCTGGGGGCAGGGTCAGCTGGAAGGCAGCGGGCCGTGAACCTACGGAGGGGCAGGGAAAGCTGGCAGGTGCCGATTCCCAGGCCTTGAGGATTGTTCCTGAGTCTGCGGCACGCCAGAAGCGTACTTTCACAGGACAGATTAAAAAAACGTTAACCAACTTTTCATTGAGGTGTGACGTGCACTAGAAAGCCCATATATCCTAAGTATATGGATGGCTTGTAAGTGTTCACAAACCGTGGGTGGGTGTGTAGCCAGCACCTGTGTGAATGGAAGGTCATGAGTGTATCAGGAGCCACACCTGACACCTTCCAGTCACTAACTGTCCCTTACACCTCTCTCAGGATCACCTTGTCCTGACTTCTCAGAGCACAGGTTCATTTAACCTGCTTATGTGTTTACTTTTATTTTAATTAATTAATTAATTAATTGAAGATTATTTATTTCGGGTGCCTAGGTGGCTCAGTCCGTTAGGTGTCTGCCTTCAGCTCAGGTCATGATGCCAGGGTCCTGGGATCAAGCCCCACATCTGGCTTCCTGCTCAGTCGGGAGCCTGCTTCTGCCTCGGACCCTCCACCTGTTTGTGCACTCCCTCTTTCTCTGTCTCTCTCGTTCTCTCTCTCAAATAAATAAAGTCTTAAAAAAAGAATTATTTATTTATTTGAGAGAGAAAGACAGAGCGAGCAGAGAGGAGAGGGAGACAAGCAGACTACCTGCTGAGCAGGGAGCCTGATGTGAGGCTCAGTCCCAGGACCCTGAGATCATGACCTGAGCTAAAACCTGGAGTCAGGTGCTCAGCTGACTAAGGCACCCACGCGCCCCCACGTGTGTGTTTCTGAAGTCCCTTCTGTTGATGGGCTTTTGAGTAGTTTGCCGTGTTGGGTTGTTATGAGCGGTGCTGCCGTGAACATCCCAAGACATACCTTTCGGTGAATGGGTATACATTTCCGTGAACTTACATGTAGGCATGGAACTGGGCGCATGTCTGTTCAGTTCTAGAGGATGATGCCCAACGGTTTCCCAGCGTGGTCACAGGTGTTTCTTCCCATCGTCTGTCCGACAGCTTGTGTAAGAATTCCAGTGCCAACTAAGAAGCTGGTCCTGGGTACTGACCATCTCTTTTATTTTGGTCAATCTGTTAGGGAAAGCAAATGCCTAGAAAGGAATCAACATAGCAGAGGAAGTGAAAATGCTCCCCAAGATGGGGGAGCCTCCTGCGGGGGGGTGGTCTGCTGCTTGGCCGCAGGGATACCCAGCAGACCGTGTAATAATTCTTCCCAACGTGGCAGAGCTTTAAGGTACATGATCCAACAAAACAGACGTGGCTCCAGTGGGCCTCTGTCGATATTTAACAGACCGTGTCCCTCCTCCTCTCCCCTAGCCATTGACTGAGGCTGATACTGCAAGTCATTGCCCACTCCTGCTGGAAGCAGCCCCTCTCGGCCCACAGGAGTCTGGGCCCCACATGCCAGTGCCCTGCCGCTCCTGGCTGCTGTGTGGGCCTCCAGCTCTCGGTGCTCATTGCTGTCAGAGCTGAGGAGCGTGAGGTGTCCCTGGACAGGCCATGCTTGACTTGCAGGAGGCCTCATCCGTTTACAGCGTGAAACAATGGCTAACTGTGCTCCTAATATGTGCCCAGCCACACGCTGAGGGCTTTATGATGATGACTTCCCGCCATCCGCCTAGTTCTGAGAAGTAGGTAGGTGTGATTTCTCCCCGCCTTACAGATAAGAAAACTAAGGGCTACAACCATTTTCTCTGAGTAACATAGCTACTGGATGTCTTAGTTTGACGACAAACGTTGATGTTTTAACCACTACCCTGTATTTCTCTCATGGAGGCTGACGTTTGGATACTTAAACTTCCTTTTGAACTTAAACAACTTCCTTTCTCTTGGGTCTAAAAGCTATGTCACGGGGGTTTCAGTGGGACCAAGGGAGCTCACCCTGTGACCCACCCTGGCCACTGAAGAACACTTACGGATAATGGTCCTCCAGGAGATGTCCACACCCTGGTCCCCGGGACCCTGTGAATATGTTCCTTACCTGTCAGGAGGGACTGTGTTATCTTGGGTCATCAGTGTGGGCCTGGTATAATCCTAGGGGTCCTTGAAAGTGGAGGAGGGAAGCTGAAGAGTCAGAGAAGGAGGTTCACTGGGGGAAGCAGGGTCAGAGAGATGCCGTGTTGCCGTGTTTGAAGAGGGAGGAAGGGAGCCGTATGCAGAGGCACCCAAGAGCCACCTCTGGAAGGTGGAAAAGGCAAGGAAACGGAGCCTCCAGAAGAAACAGCTCTGCCCACCCCCTTGCTTTTGCCTTGATGAGACCTATGTTAGGCTTCTGACCTCCTAAAGTGTAAGATGATGAATTCGTGTTGTGCTGTGCCGCTGAGTGTTTGAAGTTACCGCAGGAACAAGCCAGGTGCTTGTGATGACCATTGGTGTCATGGCCAAGCTCATGGGCTTTGGAGCCAGGCTGCCTGACTCCCAATCCCTGACGTATGATTTTTCCAGTTGTGTGACGGGCAATTTGCTTAACCCTGTGGGCCTCCGGTTTCTCATCTCTCAAACTGGGTAGGGATGGTCTGTAACCTGCGAGGTTGCTGGAGGATTAGATGAGGATTGCTATGCTCCTGAAATGCCTGGTGGTAGTTTTAGCTACAGTCGCTCAAGGGAGGCATCCTCACTGGTCCCACAGGACTGGGGGGCACACCGGCTCCACTCTTAGCAGCAAGGTAGCTGTCTGTGCCTCTGCTTCCTTATCTGGTAAATAGAGGCAGGAGTCCCAGGGTGGTTGGGGGATTGTATCAGGTGGTGGGCCGGAGGTTTCAGCAGGGTGAGCGACAGGCCGTCCACACGGGGCAGCTGTTACTATCTTTGGGTGGCTGGTGACTGTTGAGCCTCAGGCCCTCTGCATCGTGCACCCATGTGTTTCCTCGGTTAATCTGGAGAATAATTGAAGGGCGTCACGCTGGGGAGGCAGAAGGGTCCCTGCATGCCTCGAACAGTCCCGGGTACCTAGCAGGTGCTCCGTGATGGCTGCAGACATGAATACAGAAAGAAGCCCCTAGCCCTGCCCTGGAGAACACCCTCCGGATGTCTGCCCTGCCCTCGCTATGCAGGACGAGGCCTGGAGAGATGCCAGAGCTTTGTGGTTGTCTTTAAAAAGAAACAAAACGAAGAACTACTTCCTACCAGCTGACCCCAAACCCCCTCAGCTCACTGCCAGGACCTCTCAGCCCTGCGGAGGAGCTCAGGGCTGCATGTGAGGCCGACTCCCTAAGCTAGCCACTTACCCCTTCTTGAACCTTTTCTCCTCATCTTTATAACAGACAGACCTCTCAGGGTAGTTCTGGGGAGCCCCAAGCTGTAGAAAGTTCTGGATCTGAGAGGTCTTCGGTGCTTGTGCAAAGTGACTCTCCCCTGAAGGCTCCCTGATTTCCTGCCACACCTCTGTTTGGGTATCAGAGCTGCAGGACATTATTTTTAGTGAGTTCTCTTCTAAGTAGGTGAGGGTCAAACAGAAGGAAGGAAGAATAACACGACTGCTGCTCTGGGATTGTAACAGACAAATGATTTTCTTCTTCCATCCCCAGGCCTGATCTTTGGACCAGAAAGGAATGAAAAAGTTGCCCCTTACGATGGCTGTGCCTTGTCAGTTGCTTGAAGCTGCGTTCAGGGATTTCCCGAGCCTCATGGATTTACAGAGACATTCAGCTGCCGAGAATGACGGCGGAGGAAGCGTGGTCTGGAATCACACGGCGGAGGAAGCGTGGTCTGGAATCACACGCGCCTGGCTCACGTTTGGATGTTAATGGCAGTTTTCAGGAAGACCATGGCTGAGTGCCTGGCAGATCCCTGCACCTGGACACCTGTGGGGGACAGAGGACCGTGGCTTCCTGTGATGCCTGGGATCTCTGCCCTGTGTCTGCACGAGCACGGCTTGGGTCGCTACCAGCCTCACTGAGGGTGCCTGTGAAAGGTAAGGCCCATCTCCTCCTCATGCTCCTGCGCGCTCTGTCAGGTGCCCACCTGGACTTTCAGGGACACTGGCCTGGCTGGGGCGAGAGAAGTCACAGTGACGGAGCCGGTTCTCAGGGGGACATGGCAGTTACTGACCTCCCTCCGGGTGTCTGCTGGATGCTGGGTACGTGGGGAGACAGCAGGAAGCTGAAAGGAGCTTTCCCGCAGCCACTCCGGTTCCCCACGCTACTGTGCGTTGTCATGCCTGTCAGCCTTCCCTC